CTCTCTCTCTCTCTCTCTCTCTCTCTCTCTCTCTCTCTCTCTCTCTCTCTCTCTCACACACACACACACACACACACACAGAGTCATGTTTGGAAAGAGAAGAATGCATGCGGGATCGTGAGCGCAGTGCAAAATTTTCTTCTCCAAGCACTTGTCACGATCACGCGAAGTCCAAGAACAGGTGCACGACGTGTTGAGAAGGCACCTGCAAGAAAAGGTACGTATAATGTTTTTGAAAAAAATCAAGAAGTTTTTGTATAACGTACGTACCTACTTCTTGGAGCTGTATGTAGAGGGTCTTAAACTCTTAATACAGTTTGTTTTTATTTTTCGTTTTCAGTTTTTTTTTCCGTTGTACCATTTGGCGTCTGATTCTGGACATATCTTCCACAGAGATGCATAGCAGCAGATCAATGGAGATGCTTCACACCTCTCCCCAAAAGCATCCAGATTCAGGCGCCAAATCTGATGATGAAATGACATATAGGGACCGTGGCCCCACAGCCCTACACAAAAGCAAAGAAAATGAAGAAGGTCAAGTACCTCGCCCCGACAGACCTACTCACAGGTGCGGGGTTCCCTCCAATTTCTTTATTACTAATATTTACTATATATATTTTTAGCTTTTTCCCCCCTCGCTCTAGGAAAGTTGCACCCTAAAATTCCTTCTACAAGGTACGTACCTTGTTTTCGGGTTAAGACGGTAGGTGCCACTTACCGACTCGGCCCTACCTACTCGCCATTGCCACTGCGGGCCCTGAAAGATGTATCTCCCCACAGCGGGAGATTGGAACCTTTGCCTGTTCCTCTGAAACAAAAGCATTACTCCAGCCCCTCGTACCGCCAACTACTGCCCCCTACTGAGGAGAAAATAACCGAGTGCCCAAGTATTTAGCTAGCATCTACAAACCACTCGTCCAACACCACCTTGTTATCCACCACTTTTGACATCTTCTCGCCCAGGGCCCAAGTCCCCAGGAACCAGGTTAAACCCCCGGATCGATGTCTAGAACTGGAGTCCTTCCTTCTCCAGTCGCTCAGAATGACGAGTCTGATCTGTGTCTTCACTGAGTTCTTGATTGTAGCATCCGAAAGAAAACGCCCTTCGAAGGCGCACTTGTTCCTTACTTCCCAGATGACTGTGAATACGCAGACTCTCAGTGCCTGGGCGACGTAGCCCCAGCCTGTATGCAGTGGTAGACTTTCTGGAACCCCCCTGAGTAAGATCCAATGCTCATCCCAGCGAAAAGTTGGGCCACTTATGCGCTCCCAGTGGCTTCTCCACCAGTCCCAGATGCAAGCTGATAGTGGGCATGGGGATCTTCAACCCTCTCTCCATCAACCACACCGCAGATGGGGTGGCTAACATTGTGAGCAGCCACAGCAGCGCTGCAGCTCTTGGCATTGGTGCCGAATAGAGCTGTTCCCAACAGCGTGTGAGGGACTGACCAATGTCGTCATCCTCAAATGTAGTGACTTGGGACCACCTTTTAAGTGTCACCATCTGAGGGGTCCTGTTGGGCTGCGTGAGGCTGTACCCCATAGTCGACGTGTAGTCCGTCAACCAATTGGCCCGTGAGGCCGTTTGGCCTTCCCTCCATGACCACAAGTGTGGATCTAGTTTCAGTGTTCGAACTGGCCTGCCGTTTGCCCAGAGAGAGCAGGACCAGGTGCCCTCCTCGTCACAACTTTCCCGAATCCTCACCTGCACTAGATTGCCCAGTGGTCTGTCGCTTTGACTTTGTGTTTCTTCGTCTTCCATCAGCTGCAGCTGTGAGGATCCTGCTTGCTTTGTCCATGCCTAGAATGATCTGCCTCCTTCCTCGTCAATGTTCAACAGCTTCCAGAACACCTCCGGTTGCTCTTCTGAACTCACGTGCTCCTCTGGTTCCTTCCTGAACCAGGTGCCTGGGGGGGGGGACACGCCCTGCGGACTGAGGATATGGTGCCAGGCTTGTGGTATGGCGTCCAGAAACTGGGCAAATCTGAGCTAAGTCTCCCTAAGCCTTCCGAGCTTATTCTCCAGTTCGGAGCAGGCGCACCACTGTCCCGTGAGTGAGTTTCAGATGTCTGCCACGTGGAGGATACCTCTTTCGATCCAAGCTCGGTCGAAGGCTCCCCTCGTGCAGCCGGCTGAG